TCATTTGTGTAGGTCCATAATGTTGGCTTAAACTCAAAGAAAACATTTAATCGAGCCCAATCCCTTATTTGCTTACACTACTGGACAGAATCTTGCTAAACTAAAGCTATAACTTTCTAACTTACTAGAAATATCCTGAGAGATTCTAGGGCATGGCTACCCTGAACCTCTTCTCCCTATCCCATCCAGTTTGGGACTACACAATCTCTTCATTTGGGCCTCTCTGTGGAAAAACTCTGTGTTGCCAAAATTCTAAATGCACACGTGTACACACATGCATGTGTGCGCACACGTGCGCGCGCACGCACACACACAGCTTCTCCGGGTGCACATTTCATCACAAGTATAATAGTAGTGTATAGACTCCATATAATAGCTATTTTATAAGGTGAGCCTCAGTCAATGTTATTTCCTGTCACCCACCTCTCTTACTTAATACACAGATCTTGCTTTCTGGCCTTATTTATCCCCTGTATTCTTATTTTCAGAAGTCAGAATCCAATGCCCACTTCCACAAAACTTATTGAACTCAGTTACTGTGAAACATATCTAGCTAGGAGAACTTGGTTTCATTTTATCTTTTCCTAGTCACATGAGAAAAAGAACATGTTCCCAGCTGTAAGAATTCAGGGAGACATGGTGGGTAAAAATCTCTACTTGTGATTTTGGTTGTCCCTATTGATAGTTCCTTGGCCATTATTGGAACCTTAATCAATTAAGGGAATATCTGAAAATGAATGAGGAAAATAGGCTGGGAGGGGAGAGGTAAGGAGAAAGGAGGTTGAGAGTGAAAAACAGTTCAAATATAGAGGAGAAATAATATGACTGTGGACTAGAAAGGAATGCAGAGAAATAAGTAAGAGGACAGAGGTAGAGGTGGGAAGGATGGAGGTTAATAGGAAAGAAAAATAAGAATGCTAAAGGATTTTGGAGGGGAGAGAAGTACTATGACCAGATATTGAGAAAAAAAGAAACAATAAAGCTTAGCAATAGAGAAGGCAGAGAAAGTGAAGATGAATGAGCTGTGAGAGAAAAAGATTAGACTGGACAGCAACATACTGTTCAGGCCCAGGTACATGGAAGAGATTCTGTAAGCAGTGTTTTTAACTAGTTTTTTTTCCTGTCTGGGATTTGGGAGGAAGAGTTTTCTAGAACAAATTAAATATATTATTTAAATTTACTAAGAGCTTTGTTCGTCAACATTCGTAGCACAGCATTCACTAGTATCAGTTTTCATTTTCTTAAAATACTTGTTAAGCTATCAAGAGTTCATACATATCTGGCAGCATGTCAGCAGCATTTCAGATTGGGAACAAGGATAGCAAAAATGGTATCTGTAGCCTCTTAGTTATTATGTTTAGGCTTGAGCTAGAATGATGGTAACAATAATCTTAGTCACAATTACCAGAAATAAGTAAGAAGTTCCTTCACTGCAAATATGTGTCTGAAACAAGTTTTAAAAAATGAATCTGCCCTTGTGAGTACTGTGAGGCTAAGATCCTAAATATATTATACTTATATTCAGACATTTTGATGGAATTGTGAAATGATTTGCTGAATCAGACCAAAAGCTTATTCAGTCCAGAATCCTGTTTTCCTTAATTATCAATTAAATGCATAGAAATGTTATCAGAATGTCTCTGACAAATAGTTTAGAAATCCTTTTCTAATCTAGTTGTCAGAGACATTCAAAATATTCCACCAGCAAACCTCTCATAACAGAAATGTATGTATTTCTTTGTACTAGGAGAGACTTCAAAATAATAGAGCACTATTAGATACCATTCCAAGTATAAATTGTTGCTAATTACTTCACTTACCAATAAAAATTGGAACAGGGAACTCCATCACTAAAGGGTACAGTCATTAGGTCATGGTCCCATGGCTATGCTGACGTGTGACAGCAGTTCTGGTAGTCCCAATTTCTTTTAGGTGAATCCTGCATAGTCACGTTTGCCATTTGTGGGCTCCTTTTAACTTCCCATTGACTTTGCTTTTTGAAAGCCAGCAGCGAAGGTCATTAATGGCAGTCACATGACTGCAGAATGCTATGATCTCATATTTGCAAGCAGATTGCCAAGCGCCTGAATCATCATCATAGGGATGCTACTACAGTCTCAATTACGATGATTCATCATACGTCCCTCTCATTCAGCACTGTTATAACGTTGAATAGTCACTGTTAATCAAGGATTACTTACACTACATATTCAGACCAAATCAGAATATGTTTAACTTTAGTCAAACATTTTATCTTGAAAGCTTGGTTATTCATTAACACTAGGGATGTTTGATCTCTCCAATAAAGAAAGAAATGTTTTGCTGAATAAGAAAATGATACATTGTGGATTATTTTCAGAGATTTTTACTTGATTTTTAAATCAGAAGTAGTAGGTTGATAATTGTTTTTAAATAGTCAAGTTTTAATTTTGAAAGTAAATTGGAGTTCTTCACTATTTAACAATTGATGTATCCTCAGTTCAGAACTACATTGTACATGATAACATCTGCCTTTTCTTTGTTTATTGAGACAGCCATTGTATTCTTTACTGAATAATTATTATCAGACAGAATAATTATTTTTCAGTCAGAAGACATTCAGATACAGGTAATCCTTGACCTATAACTACTGTATATTCTGGCCTATAGGGTGACCCAGCATATAAGACGATCCCCAGTTCGACGCCGGGTCGCAAGATGATCGACGCCGAGTCACAAGACCATTGACGCCAAGTCGCATGCATAGAAAGTCGTCTTATACGCCGGAAACTACCGGTATTTCCGGCGTATAAGATGATCAACGCCGAGTCGCATGCCTAGAAAGTCGTCTTATACACCAGAAACTACGTTATTTCCGCGTATAAGACGATCAACGCCAAGTCGCATGCCTAGAAAGTCGTCTTATACGCCAGAAAATAAGACGACTCGGCGTATAAGATGACCCCCGAGTTCGGAGGCTGTTTCGACGCTCTCAAAAGTCGTCTTATACGCCGGAATATACGGTATTTGTTCAGCAACCATTTAAAATTACAATTGTGCTGAATGAATGGTGGTTACAACTGGTCCTTGAAGTTCCAACTGTCTCAATAACCCCGCAATGATTACTATCTAGACACTTATCAATTTATGACATTGGTTTCTTGCAAAAATGCCAAAAATTGTAGTCATGTGACCATAGGATGCTGCAAACAGCTATAAATGCAGGCTATTGCCAAGTGCCAAAATGTGATCATATGACTGTAGGGGAGGGGTCAAGTCATCAGAACTTTGAAACCAGGTCATAAGTAATTTTGGCGAGGTCCATCATACACTTGGACCAGTCACTAAGCATCCAGTCATAAGTTGTACTTGTACTTTCAGCTTGGTATCATCATGATGGTCAAAGTTCATAATAAAAACATTTCTATTTCAGTTCCGGTTACATCTGAATTATATCCTTTGTTTTCATATAACAATGTTACTGGAGATTATAAATTTAATGCTTGATTTTTAAGTAATTATTTTCATAGTAAATTATTATTGAATATTAATCTCTTTATATTGGGAAGTCTTGATGCTTAAAGTTATGCAGCCACATTTGACTGGATTTGGCTTACCTAAATTATACAGATTTTCCAAGTTACTTTAGATTAAATCATCATTATTTATAAGATACTATACATACACATTTGAATATTTTTTTCCTCCCAGAGCCTGCCAACTGTGCTTTTATGAGAATTTTATGTACTGACATTTTACTAGTGCCCTTCACTCTGGTGCTTTCTTGTAAATGTCAGGGAACACTCAGTGTAACAATTCCTATTTCTTGAATAGATGCAGTAGCTCTTTTTGCAAAAATGAGCTCCAGAAAGTACACTTGAGTCTGCATTGTGAACAGAAAATTCAGTAGAAAATACAGGAAAAATATAGACATGTTCTCTACAATGGTTACATTGGATAAAAAGACCCTGCATGTGTAGTATGCTTAACGAGGCTATGAGAGAGGAGATAGCATACTGTACAAACTGTGTAAACTGCATAAATGAATCCCTACAAGAATGAAAATTAATCCAAACATCTCTGGTCTAAGTATGGGGCTAATTTCCATATGTCACATAAACTATTTTCTGGGGTTGCTTGTCTCCCTTCACCCCTGAGATTGTGATGACATTATAGAAGACTGTCTATAAGAGATAGAGTAAAATGTGGCTTATTTCACCTCCCTTGCTGGAAAAAAATCCCCACAGAGGTGAAAAGGGGATAGCAAGATTTCCCCTGTTGCCCATTACACAACTACAGTTTAAAAAAAAAAAAACAGAATTTCAGCTGGTGGGCAAAAAACAAAACCACAAAAACAAAACCATCACCCAGCAAATGGAGAACAATGAGAGTTTCTCAGACTGCTTTATAGCAGCTGGAGTAATTAAAACTCTGGTGCGTAACAGATTCAGATATCCTACTTCATGTATTACCAGAGATCAGTCTATTGATGGGAGTGGTCTCGTTATCTGAGCAAACAAAGAATTCCTCTTACATGAAGGTTGTAATCCTATACTTAATTATCCGAAAAAGTTTCATTAAGCTCAGTGAAATTTATTTCTGAATAATTATTTTTAGAACTGGACTGTAAATCATTTCTACATTCCATTCTAAAAATGTCATTGTTTAGTCTCACTATTTTCAGTGGAATGAAACGCAACTAATTTAATATAGATTATAAATTAAATTTATAATCATTTTAAGAAATTTTGTATTACAGCTCTAATAAAGTTTTATTATTAGTGGTCATGTTTCTCATAGTTTACCAGTTATACCTGAAATGCCCTTGAAGCATCCTGAAATATACATTTTTATTTTATTTTATTTTATTTTGTAATAAAATAGTAAAATATGGTCATGTATATGGACTTTAGTTAATGTTTCTGCTTTTCTTGGTCCCAGTGCTATATTGCATTAAAGAGTACATTTGTGAATATGTATGTGTATGAACATTGGCTAATTTGAATCTGCCTTTATTATAGATTAAGCTACGTGGATCATGCAGAGGATCTGGCTTCCAAATTACTCCAGTGTTTCCCCAAAAACAGATTGTCAGCACAGGCAGCTTTGAGCCATGAGTACTTCAGTGATCTTCCTCCACGGCTATGGGATCTAACTGATAGTGAGTATTATACCAAAACACCTATGTAACAAAAGAGTTTTCTATATGAAAGAGAAGGAGAGGGAGGGAGGGAGGGAGGGAGGGAGGGAGGGAGGGAGGGAGGGAGGGAGGGAGGGAGGGTGAGAGAGAGAGATGAGGAAAAATTGGTTTTTCTCTTTCTGTTTTCTTGAGCCTATAAATAATTATCTTTATATTTGATTATGTGTGTGATTAAGAAAATTATATGAGATGCCATAAAGAGAAAAAGGGAGAAATTTAAATTTACATATTTAGTGTTTTTTTATTTTATAATCTGCAGTATTTTTAAGCAGCTTCAATATCCAAACTATAATGTTGGATTCTCAAACACTACTTCTACTTTCCAAAATAACTAAGAAATGTAAAGCAGAAATTAGGTTAATTTTTAAGATTATTCACTTGTTTACTGAGATGCCATGATATTGGCTTATTTTGCCTACCTGCCACCCCCAAGACTGAGATGGAATATTTGATGTGGGCCTGGATAATTGGTGCTTTGATTCCCTGGGGTGGTTTAGTCTGCAGGAGGGAGATCTGGGGTGGTCCTTGAAAAGGACCTGAAAAATTTGGTGTGGGGCAGCTTATCCTGGGCTGTGAGAACTTTGGGGGCTGGATGGGCTTACCAACAGTGTTTTCCTCTTGCAAATAGATTTGGATCTGGCACCAACCAAAATTCCCGGGGAGAGGAAGTAGGGTGACAGTTGTCATCCACAAGTTGTTGCTGGCTTTCAGAAGCTCTCTTTGCAGACCATTTGGAAAGTTTCTTGGTTGAAGTTAACCTGTAAGGAATAGCCATTGGATTCCATTGCTGGACTGGCAATAGAAATATTGAAACTGATAGTAATCAGAGTTTACAATTTGCCAGCCTGATGATGTTAGCAGAAATCTGAGACAGCTCAGGAATTTGTGGCAACTATGGCACCTACACATCTGTCCCAAGTCATAACAGGCTGAACATAAATTGGGGGCTGCACATTAGATCAGGTTTTTGTCTCAGGACAGTTGTGTCTGATCTGGAGGATATTGTTATTAATTTATTGTCAGATCACTCAGTGGTTGCTTTTTGGCCTGGCAAGGGTAAGACAGCTGTTAGATCAATTTGCCTTGGGTGCCTGAAAGACATGGCTGGGTTTCAGAGGAAGCTTGGGATTTTTTTCTGAAGATCTAAGTGGCAATTCTACCTGAGACTTTGATTACAACTGGAATAAGAGAGTGCAGAAGACCTAGACCAGTGATGGCGAACCTTTTAGAGACCGAGTGCCCAAACTGCAACCCAAAACCCACTTATGTATCATCGGGTGATGGGTGGGCATGGCCCATTGGGTGGGCATAGCTTCGGTGTTAACGGCAGACTGGGTGGTACTAAAAAGTTCAATCAATCAGTTCCAACTTTGCAAGATCTTTTTTTTTCCCCTGAGAAGTTAAAATTGACTGATTGAACCTTTTTGTTTTGCACACAGCGGCGGAGGCCTAAAGTGAAAAGGTTTTATAAAACCCAGCTGAAGGCCTAGGATTGGGGTAACAGTGCACGTGCCCAGAGAGAGGGCTCTGTGTGCCACCTGTGGCACCTGTGCCATAGATTCGCCATCACGGACCTAGACCATATTGTCCATGTGGGGCCTTTCACACAGAACTGGGATCTGCTTTTGTTCTCTGACGCGAACTCTAGGAGATGAAATGAAGATGAAACACTTGGACTGCTCCTAGACTCTTCATTAGATTAAGATAATCTAACTGAATTTAGGTAAGAATCCATATAAGGGCTTAAATCGAGAACAACAAAGCCACATATTTTTCCCGTTATTGTATCTGCCAATATCTGCTCAGTAGCAATTTTTGAAGATGACCCACTCCCTGCTTTGGAGGGATGGTCACAGGGCTAACTGCAGGGCCATAATGAGCAATAATTTTACTATTTGATAACATTGCTCAGATTTGATTTGATTTGGACATATAAAAAGCTAGAAAATTTTCAAATACACATACTGTTTCAGAGGATGTTAAAGATTAATATTCAACTGAGATCAGTCTTTTCTTGGCAGATGTAAACACTGGGAAATGTAAACACTTTTTTTGTATATGATAATGGCAGCAAGATTATCCTTTGCACGGAAAACAGAAAACTTGGCATTAGGCACAATGGTTGATGTAGATGATGGAAATTTCTGAGGTGGTAAATTGACTTTCGATCAGACAAAGACAATATCCATGTTTATTGCTGAATATTTTGTATGAAACCCCTAGTGGACTTTTGCAGAAAAAAATAAATTTATGATTTATGGCTTTTATGATTAGAAAGGGCAGATTATAGAAAAAGAGTTTTGTTATAACCATAGAATAAGTATGGTAAATACATAATTGTACTTAAAACCAGCATATACAAGGCATATGCAAAAAGTGTATGTCAAAAAACACAAGGCAGACCCAAAAGAAGATAGACAAATCAAACAGACACTACAACAATATCAATTAACAATGTTTGTGGTCGCCAGAAGAATAAGAGTTAGAACTTTGTATCAATACCCTAAGATGTAAGTAAGAGGAAGTAAAGAAAAAGAAGACTTAAAACCTCTGTAAAGGAAAATTGGAAGCTATTTCCTTGTATTTTTTTCTCTTTTTCGGTTTTTCTTTTTCTTTTTCTTGTATTTTTAATTTTTGATTTTATAGGTAGGTAGGTAGGTAGGTAGGTAGGTAGGTAGGTAGATAGATAGATAGATAGATAGATAGATAGATAGATAGATAGATAGATAGATAGATAGATAGATAGATAGAAACATGTGTGTGTGTATACACACACACACACACACACAAACACATTTTGAAGGCAGAAGGAGAAGGGTATGCACAGGATGAGATGGTTAGATAGTCAATACAGTGGGCATGGGTTTGGTTAGAGTCCAGGTGACAGTGGAGGAAAAGTGACCTCGCATGTTGTGGTCCATGAGGTTGTGAAGAATTAGATTCAGCCAGAAGATTATCTATGATTGAATTATGGAATGATGTTTTCCTCTCTGTGAGAAGAAGTGGTTTTTTTCAGCTTTGAAGGAAGCTGCAGTGCACCATCTCTTAACAGACCATTATTGGACTTAGCCATCCTGGACAGTTTCTATCTAATCTTCCCTTTTTTAAGGAAGTTGGTGGAGAGGGTGGTCAGGCTTGAGCTCTAGAGCTCAAGTGTTGCTTTATTCCGACTACCGTAATATACTTTGTTATATACTTATTTCATATGGTTTGTGCAGCTTTGTCAATAGCATAAAGCAATCAGATTGTTTTATAGTACCTCAATACCATTTAACAAGTACATTTGGAAAAAATGTTTATTTTTCCATTTAGTTAGTGTAAAAAACTAAATATAGCTTAACATCTGAAATGCGAATGCTGGTACTTTTTATTCTGTTAGGATTTCAGTAGTTTATGGATCCTATAGTATTTTTTTTCAGTTATATGGGTTTATTATCAATTTACACTTAGTTTATCAATTGGTGGTTACGTCCAGTCCTATCAGGGCACTAAATACCAACACATTATCACTGTACAGCAGGCTGCCAACAGAGACAGTCTTCTCCTAGTCATTAACAAGTGCAATGTATGCAGAACACCAGAGGGGAATTAAAACCACAAAAAATACCTCAGGGTGGTATTTTTAATATGAGAATTTAATTTGTAATTTCACAGATTAAGAATTTTGGTTGCATTAATCCTTTTATCAGCTCACAGCAGGTTATTTGCAGAAGCATAACCATAAGGCGATATTCGTTGGTCGAAACATGTCTTTGCATAATATTAAACATCAGGAGCAGTGAAGGACGAGAATAAAGATGAAAATCATTATATTTTTAGACAAGGTTCTGCTAAATGTCTCCAGTAAATTTCTGAGTTTAGAAATACTGTTTCTGTCCATAGCAGATAATCATTACAAAGCATAAATCAAGATGCAAGAAAGGACAAACCCTATATTAAGTATTATAATTGTTTATATTTATTTTGCATTGATATTGCAAATATATTGAAAGCAATTTATAAAATTATAGAAAATATTGATATGATAACTGATATTGATGCTTTTCCATGTATCTGTAAATATTTCCTATTTAAATTATGTATTAATTTAAAATTTGTATCAATATTTATGTAGTAAATCATATGCAACAAATCTAAAGCAATTACTATATCTTAATAATTAAAATATAAATATATAACAAGTTAGAAACTACTAATCTTGCTTACTAATTAGAAACATAGATGGTGATTTTTTTTCCCAAATATTCAAGTATCCATGGTGAAAAGAATAAATTTATGTATACTATTTTCTCTCTTTTAATTTCTCCATCTTCCTTCTCTCTTTCTTTCATACACAGATCTTATGAAACCATTACAAGTGGGCAATTTTTATTTTCAGTAATAAAATAATATAACATTTGTTTATTAAAATGTTGATATGTTAAATTATATAAGAAATTATTTTAATTATTGTCATGTGGAACTGCTAGCAGATTAATAAACTGAATGATGTTAACTGGACTAATCTCTACTGAATGGTTTAAAATGTTCAGCTATATATCTATGAAAGGTAGAAATAGGTAGAGAAGGAAAAATGGAGTTTTTGTTAAAAATGTGGAAAAGTATAGAGTTTTATGTTAGGCAAAGGTAATGATCACCAGATAGCATTCTAAAACTTTCAATACAGACACTACTGCTGTTCAACATTTTTTTTCTTTTTTCTTATAATACAGAAGCTCCCTTTTTATTATTAGAAGGCACATTGTGCCTAACTAACTCATTGGAGCATCTCAGAACTTCTTTTACTTTCAGATAGGCATTTGTTTCTGTTAAATACAGTATATGAAACATAAAATCTAAATATAAAGTCTCTTGGGAAACCATCTTTCAAAAGTATTCTGCTTAGGAGCAAGTTAATGTATTTGGAGTTTAAGGAGGATTGTTTGGGAGAAAATTGATATATTGGGAGTATAGAATATCTATAGAATAGTGTCTCTCGTTAGTGATAGATTTTAGCATGTAAGTGAAATTACATGGTGAAGTTAATATCAATTGATTGCCCATTACAGGGAGGGGGGAAGGGAAAGAGAGACATAAGGATTTAAAAATCAGAATTATCTAAAGTAGTATGAAACAAGCAAGTCTTACCTGAAATGAACATTGATGAAAGGTATAAGGGCACAATATATAGCATAGAGATATGTTGGAATCTAGAATCAAACGGAACACCCTAACAGACAGAATAAAGTTCCAAAGTGAAAAAATAGTGAGAATGGAACTGGCAGAATTTAGATAGAAAACCAATACCACCATTACCTTCAGAATGAATTCCATGGGAGATGGTGAAGATCTTGAAGAAGACAGCTTCAGTTTCTCTGGGTCAAATAGCTGGAGAGTCGAAGAAAGCAAAAGATAAAGAATTATGACTGGTATCTTGGTGAGACATTTCAGAGGAACCCTCTGAAAAAAAATTGGGGGGCTGAAAAAATCAGTTATAGAGATACAGTTAAGTATGAGGGTTGATGTTATATTGATAGAAATGAGCATCAGATAAGTGACAGATTCTTACAGCTCACTTTGGGAACTTATTTTCTGAAGTTTTTCAGTTGGATATTGTTTTGCTGCAGGCAAGCAATGACAGTAGGTCAAAATTGCAGTTCTTAGAATCATGTGTTCTTAATTAGAGTCCTGATATAATTCATAACTCCTTTGTTTTATGGAAAATAATAATGATGAGCAATTGGGGTTGATCTTTTTCAGGAGAACATTTCCCTCAGTATTCTTGATCAAATTTTTATTTTTTAATATTTAAAATATTTAAAGAAAATTAGAATTTGAAAGGAATTTGACTTATACTAATCTATTGGCTTGAGGTTTGGCAAGTGCATTCACACCACACAATTTGAAAAAGTTCTAGCCCTCAAGAATGATTAGCATAGTAATTCTGATTATCTTTGCTAAGGATATCTGGGTTTGTACCAGCTTCTTCATTTATTTCATTATATACAGAAGTCCTAGAAAATTTTGTCTTCAAATACTGTTGTCACTAGTATTTTTAAGCTTTTTCTTCTTTTAAAATTTGTTTATATAGAAGTTGGCCAATAAAGCAGTTTATTTCTCTTTTCTAAAATAGTAATATGAAATATATTTTTCTTGACAGTGTCATCTATTTTTTCTGTATCGAATATAAGACTGCAAGTGGAAGCTGGAGAAAGCACAAAAGCTTTTGGGAAAAACATTTATGGCAAAGGTCAATCACATGTAAAACACTGAAGAGAATTTTGATTTCCTACAAATAATTGAGGTAAGTCCTACTAAAAAGTGTTTGTGTTTAGTAATTTTTTTCTATTCTGACCTTGACATACAATTTTTTAAATGTTTTCTTAATGTACAAGTAAGAATTGTTTCTGCAAGTATTAGTTTTCTGCAAGCATTGTTAATACATAACTAAAGATGTGTAACGTCATTTAGGACTAAAGGATCAAATCAACTTTAAGGCACAGATAAGCAATTTATAGACATGGTAGTCTCTCTCTCTCTCTCTCTCTCTCTCTCTCTCTCTCTCTCTCTCTCTCTCTCTCTCTGTGTGTGTGTGTGTGTGTGTGTGTGTGTGTGTAAACATTTGTCCACCAGCCTATAGCCAGGCAGAGGAAAAAGATTGCTTTTCTCCAATGCTAATGCTGTGCAATGAGATTATTATGAAATGGGTACAAAGCTCTCCCTCCATTTCCTCCCCCCTGAAGCGGTCTTACTCAAATTACCTTTTCTGTTGCAAATAACAACAGAAAAAGAATATTCTGGAGTGGAATTACCTAAAGAATAAGTTTAGTAAGAACTTGTTTTATCCAAATTACCCCACAAATTATATGGTAGTCCTTTGGGTTTGAAGAAGACTCTCTTTTGTGCAGCTCATCTGCGGACACTGGTTGAGCTAAAAAGATTGACCACTCTACTTTAGAACAATTGATTCTCCTCATTCTTTGGATTTGAGACCAAATATATTCAGCTTACTATTGTCTTTAGATGATTTTATTTTTTTTATCATTACTATTTTCTATAGTTATACCAAGTCAATAAGTTAGTTTTGCATATATACAATGTAAATATTTTAACTGCAGGTCAAGATATGTAATGTCAGAGGAGAAAATGAGGTTGTGTAAGAAGTTCTGCATTTATCACATTTTAATTTCCAGGATTAGGAAAAAATAGTACATAATTAATAAGTAATGAGTAATTGAGCATACATAGATATTTATGTTTCTCCAGCATGTAGACGAATGTAGACTCCACACATGGGTTGATTTAGTCTTCTAGCCCAATCAGACCAAACAATCAAAGTTGCCACGCCTCTGCAGGGTCTGACCATGCCCCAGATTTCGTTTGGTCTCAGCCCTGAAGACACATGAGAATTTGGCTCCTAATTTAGATTCAGAAAGGTAGTTATTGCCATTCGTGGTTTCTCTATCCTTTTTTTCCTTCTTGGGGGGGGGGATTGGTTCAGCTCTGAGCTCAGTGCTGCACCATTTCTTCTCTCTTAATCAATTCCCTTCTCCGTGAGTTTTCAGAGGCAGAGAGCTGATCGTAGATTGCTGCCTCCTCATTACAATCCACCTCCCCCACCCCCTCCCAAGATCTTCGCTGTGAATGCGAAGCTAAACTACTAATTTTCAGCTGAAAACTGAAATCACCTTCTTAGGTTAGTTACCAATTCAAACAACCTGCGGGCGCCATTTTGAGCCTCTAGAAGGCTCGATCCTCATAGTACTCAAGTACTTCCTTGTTACTGTTGATTGTCAGCTGTAAATTACCCCCCCAAAAAAACAGCAGGTGAACTGTTTGACTAAAAGAGCTGATTACCAGATTACTTGCAGGAGAGGATCTTTTCTCTCAGCTTGTTTCATCTCTCATCAGATTGTCCCGGCCGCCATTTTGGGCTCCGCCCGATCACATACATTAAACTGACTGCTTTGTTTTAATTACAGCCTTTTCAGTCACGAAGTAACTTACTTATTTGGTGATTCTCCCTAAGTGGGGGGGGGGGAATAGGAGTTCTAATTACATTCCTTTAGATCTTCATTCAGCTGCTTAATAGGCACCATCTCAGGTTGCCTAGTGGACATAGGGAAAATACCTTGAGTCTCTCACTCCATTTTATCTGGTAATATTCCACACTGGGACTTACCAGTACCTTTTAAATATCCAGTGCCAACAGATTGGATGGCTGCTTGCCTTGCCTGTTTTCCGCTGTCTGCATAGTGGTCGGCATTTACTGTCCTAGCCGTCACTAAGTGAGACACGAGGGTAAAAAAAAAATCAATTAAAATAAAACAGAATTAAATTAAACAAGATATATACCTATATTCATATATAGACTTATCTTTAATTTGATACCTTTTCAGCCAAATTGTCTCTATTACAGTGGGCCTGAAAAATTGAATGGGGAGGACAGCCCCTGAGCGTAGCACGGCTTATATCGCGTAGTGACTCCGTGCTTAACGGTGGGCCGGACCTCACAGACCCTCGTGCAGGCCTGTACCACCCAGGTGGGCCGTGGCCTTCCTTTCTCCTGCAGACCAAGGGCTGATCCAGGGATTTCCTGGTGAAAACCTGCCCTTTCTTCTCCTGCAGAACAGGACTGATCCAGGGATCTCCTGGTGACAACCTGTCTTTTTTTCTACTGCAGTACAGGCCAGATCCAGGGATCTCCTGGTGAACACCTGTTGTTTATTTCCTATTGTTTATTTCAATATGGCGGATAACACCGTTTCACAGGCTTCCACCTCCAGTGGAAATATAAAATGCAAGCCATCCAGTCTGGATACACCTGCAAAAGCCAAGGCCAAAGTCAAACGGACCTCTAAGGCCGATGACAAGCAAGCAGATAGCAGACATCGGGTGCTGGAGCAACAATTCTCCAAAGCCCAGCAGCAGACAGGAGAGACGCAGCTTATCCCCTCACCTCCTCTTGCATCCACATCAGGGGAGCATCGACCTTCCCCTCTTACACAGGCTTGGTCTCCCGAGCAGACTCTGGACCAGGGTCCCTTGCTGGGATATGAACGGGACCATCTGTCCCTCTTTGACCGAGAATTGAGATTACAGGTCCAAGATTCAATTCCAGCTGCTGAGCCAGGACCTTCCTCAGTGTCTTGTGGGTCTCAGGGGGAGGTTACTACAGTCGTCCCTCCCCCAATCCCTTCAGCATCTTTCACGCCGATGGTGGCGGGTCTTCGGGGCCCCGAACATCCTTCATTTACTGTCCAGCTCCAAGCCATGATCTCATAGGCGGTGGTTCAGGCAATGGCGGCTTCAGGGAGTGCCATTCCGGTCCAAGGACCGTCAACCCCCCCCTACGCCCACGGAAACTAGGCATCCCAGGGAGTATGTGATTTCAGATCACGGTTCTCCACCTCAATCTGAAGGGAGTGAGATATCAGATTTTTCTGCTCAGATTCCAGAAGAAGGCATGTGGTCAGACGGGGAAGACATTCAGGCGGAGGCCACTCCTATGGTAGGGGTGTTTAATCCAAATTCCTTCTATCCTCTTTTACAAAAGGCTTATGTCACCGGAAAAATTGAACCCATGAAACCACAGACGATCGATCAGGACTCTGGACAGAGTTTTGACCCACTGTTTCTGGAACCGGTCAAGTGACGTTTTTCTCCATACAACCGGCGTCTGTCGTTCAAGTCTGGCTCAGACCGAACTACATGGAGCGGGTATCGGCCCTTTCAAGAGACAAGCCAAAGCCACAATTCCAGGCTAAGAGGCCCCTTCGCGGCAGAGGAGCTCGTCCTTTCCGAAAGTCAAAGTGACTTGAGGAGGATTCCTCCCATTGGCGGAAGACTGGCACTATATTTCCACAAATGGGAAAGTACCACCACGGACAATTGGGTTCTAACCACTATCAGAGACGGACTGTCTCTGGAGTTCCTCACACTTCCACCTCAGCGCTTCATCTCCTGCCCCCTATCCAGAAATCCCGTGAAACAAGGTCTCATGGAGGAGGCCATTTGTCATCTGTTAAGCATAGAGGCAATAGAGCGGGTACCCCCAGATCAATGGGGACTGGGTTTCTACTCCATCCTGTTCGTGGTACCAAAACCCTCAGGAGGATGGAGGGCGATCCTAGACCTCAAGGCTCTAAATCGGTACCTAATTTACCAAAAATTCAAGATGCAAACTCTTCATTCTATTCTGGGCAGTATTCGGCCGGGGGATTTTCTTACATCCATAGATCTGACAGAAGCTTACCTGCACATTCCCATACATCCAAATCACAGGCGTTTCCTCAGATTCAGGTATTCCAACCATCACTATCAGTACAGGGCCCTGCCATTCGGCCTATCATCAGCTCCAAGGGTTTTCACCAAAATCCTGGCGGTTCTCGCTGCACAGCTCAGGTTGGTACCAGTCCGCGTTCAGTGCTACTTGGACGATATCCTAATCCAGTCGTCCTCTGCACTGAACGCCCGTTCAGACATGGCACTGACGATCAAGACACTCCAGGATCATGGATTTATGATCAACTTCCCAAAGAGCCATCTGATCCCAACAAACCGTTTGCTTCACCTAGGCGCAATAATAGACACCAGCCAGTGCCGAGTTTTCCTGTCTCAGGAGCGTCAGCTCAGCATACGTACGATGGTCACCAGGGTGCGCAAGGAGAAATGTGTAACCCTGCTCCTGCTGTCACAGCTGTTAGGGAAACTGATCTCATGTATTGCCATAGTGCCTTGGGCCAGGATTCATACGAGACAACTACAGTGGTTTCTACTCCCTTACCAGAAACGGGGTGTAGCATGTTTTCCACAGAGGGTGCGAGTCCCACCACAGACACTCACGTCCCTCATCTGGTGGTTGTCCCCAGCACTGTCCAAAGGATCCCTGTTCAAAGAACCGACTCGGGTAACCTTGACCACAGACGCCAGTCTGTTTGGATGGGGGGCACATCTGCAATCTCAATTCGCCCAGGGACGGTGGTCTCAACGGGATCTCAAGAAAAATATCAATTGGTTAGAGCTCAGAGCCATACACCTAGCACTTCTCCATTTCCACAAGAAGTTGGCGGGCCACCACGTGCTGGTTTTGACAGACAATGTGGCGGCAAAGGCCCATGTCAACAGGCAGGGCGGCACTCGATCACGGATTCTAATGTCCGAAGCCCAATGTCTGGGGTCATGGGCGGAACAGAATCTGTTGTCCCTAAAGGCAGAACACATTTCAGGGGTGGAAAACGACCAGGCAGATTTTCTGAGTCGATCTACGATAGATCATTCAGAGTGGCGTCTACATCCCCATCT